AAGAGATTAAGTATATTGGTAATAAGGCAAATGGGCATTAGATTTCTGCCTTTCACTCAGATGAGAAGATAACAAGAATACAGATGATAAATGCACGAATCCAATTCTCTGTGCTGTTCCCCCACTTCTGCCTTGCAAGGATGGTACTCAGCTGAATTGAAATGCCCATCCCTCGGTCTATGCTGTAGTTATTCTCTCAGCCAGTTTGGCAATATCTGTTCTTTGTCCCACTTACGAATAACATTTTTTCTTCTATAATTGAAACACTAGTGCAAATTTAGTTGCCTACAAACATCCTCAAAACGAGTTAGGGTAACTTTTCCCAGAAAAGTTGGATCTAGTTTCTTCCCGATTTCACAGTACAAATGACAACTGAATCATTCCAGTTGCCAGCTGGGGAATTCTGGAACTAGTGTCTATAGATCTGGAAAGTGCTAGTGGAGAAAAGGTTATTTCATGTGATTTAGAATCCTGCACCATCAGGCTAATAAATTGCACTGGAGTCCTGCAGATGTACATCAGGTGTCTGATTTCAGATCTCTCCTTCTCAAATCATACTTCAATAGTACTTTTCTATTTCTCCCATGTTTTGAACTCAACCTCCAAACAGTAATGGGCGAAAGGTAGATGTCTTCTATGATCACACAGAGAGTAACTCATAAACCTATTTACCTTTCAGATACTACTGGGACCCCCAAGACAACCTACTACCAATTGGCTCTAGATACTTTGGCTCTGTGTGTGGAAAAAAGTCCAGAACTTGAAAGAGCTGCCTCTGCTCTTGCCAACGCATCCCTGCATAAATGTTTCCAGTTCCAGGGTCGTTTCTCTGTAGGTAAGATCATTACATGCTTCATACAGAGACAACACAGACACACACACATAAGATTTTTGAATACGATTTTAAATTACCTTTTTACTCTGAGCTTCCAAGGACATCAGGATAGCCCTGCTAATATTACACTGTAATGATCCTGGGAAGTAGGTTGGACTGAGAAATGATT